ACCACCGTCGATATTGTTCAAATGGAATTTGTTTGAATGTTTGGCATGCTATAATGTTCTGGTGCTGTCTCCTCCGTGGAGGACGAATATTGGTTCCGTTGTTGACGGGCATCTTTCTTGTCTCCTTGTCGAGTTTCGGCAGCCGTCGCCGTAATGCTATGCCTGCAACTGCTAAAGGACAAGAATCTGATTCTGATCGTTGACTTTTCTTAGGCTGCCTCAGTTCTTGAACAGCCTGGACGGCTCTTGTTTACCTGGCGACGATGGAGCTGGTGAAGTATATAATAACCGCAATACTATGATGGACAGATGGCTGAGTTTAACTTAGACCTGTTTGAAAGGTTTCTGTCATATGAAATTGCAGCATCCACAGACGTACTGTGGAACATGACGAAACTTGAAACAACCTTGTAAAAAAATATCTGTTTGCGATAAATGATAACTTTTTCTTAGCCGCGATCACTGCCTAATATTAACCTGGGAGGACATTTCAAATCAGTAGACGAATACTGAAGATACTCTGCTGCTGCAGCTTTGTTATCTTCAATAATTATTAAAACGGTGTTTGCTGTGATGCAGAAATTCCAGTTCCTTATTCAAGAAATCTTGTTTCATCCGCAACGTCCTGCAGGTTTTAACAATGCTTGTATATAGCTTGTTTCGTTTTAGCTTATTTGAATTAATTACCGTTGCTGTTGCTTAAGAGCAGACTTTTTAGAAACCAAGAATTGACCTGAAAGGTGTGACTATCAACAATGCTGTTAATAAAAGCTCTACAACGTCTGGAGTTGTGAACACCACTCCAGCTCCGCTGTCAGGACTCGGGATGAACTCAAAATTAGGTGTCTCGTTCTACGTGAATATTGCACCGGACGTCGATCTGTATCCTCCTTCGTTACCTGAACCAAGTGTGACGAAATCTTTCCCCGATAAGGTGTCTTTTCCGGGCGTGCAGACTCTAGAAAAAGAGCCAAAGAAGAAGAAATATCCCATCGAAGCATGGCCCGGAAAATTGCATGGACAGCATCTGTTATTGTAGTTCTGTTTATTGTAAAGTTTAACGCTTTGTTATCATTACTGCAGGCTGATGAACATCTGAAACAGATTTCCATTGCGCGAATTCTCATGCGTTTTAGGTTGGATTTTCAGCCGATGGTGTGATCCAGCCTAGGGTGAGTTAAACTTGAACTTCTAGGTTAGAACAAGAAATAAATTGCGGTATCTATCACCTTTCATGTTTCTCGAATTCGTTATCTAGCTATTAACTGATTCTTAGTTTCTACTTTGACATGTAATTTCTTGCAGATCTACCAAATACAGTACCGTTTTCTGCTCATAAAGAAAGTTTCCGAAGATTAAGTAGTTTGTACATTTTTCATTTTTCATAAAAAAAATTAAAAGTTAAAATTAAAATTATTAAGTTCGTTTCAATGTGTTAACCTGATAAATTGTTCTTAAGACGTGTTGCATGACGTTATTGCAACAGTGATAGTGGGCATCAGCACAGCAAAAACGATAATATTTTTTCAAGCGAACTCAGAACAACAGAAAAACTCCATCTTCCTGCATGCCATTCTCCTAGAAGTAACTGCCTTCAAATGCCTTGACTACTGCATCTTCCCAAATGACAGTCGAAAGATGAAGCTTCAGCCCAGATAGCAGCGTTAAGGAGCTTTTTGCTTGCTCTGCAAGCAGCTCCGGAAACGTCGGGACATCATTCCGAAACAGCATGCTTCTTCCGTCGTATGGCTGGAGGAGATGACTAGCAGCTTCATAATTAAATGTCGAGGTTTTTAACCAGTGAATGGCCGTCGCTGTAGCATTCTGAGCAACATACCGAGTTCTACAGAGCACTATCCGCTCCATCCTCCTTTATGGATATGACAGCTGGGCCCTAAGAATCGAAGACTTCAGGAAACTAAAATCCATCAATCTTTGGCGTATCAGAATCATCTCGCCGACACGATTTATCGGTCTTATGTCGAGAGCCATAATGCAACATATACAGATGTGGGCCCGTGCATTTAATTACGTTTAGTCAACGAAATTATCTCTTACGTCGTTGAATGCTCCGTCTCAATCCCTGGATAACACCGGACAAAAAGTGAAAAATTTAAGATCTAGTGTGACTACGTCAGATCTGACGTTGAATTCCTCTCGATGCTGGCAGAGTACGGGTACAAACGGTGGACTCACTTTTCGTTTTTCGCCTACGGATCGCGGTGTATGGGCTTAAACATTTCTTCTTTTGAGATGCAGTCCTGCGTGCGGTGCACTTTAGGGGCTTAAATCCCATGGTGCTGTGGTCGGCACATTTCCTAGTGTAAGATTTTCATCCGTCTTGTAGCTCCGAAATATCGGTGTAAAGTAAGAATTGAATTTCTTTACGCTACGTTTTCAACGTTTTAATCTGGTACTGATATATTTTTAAGTATTATCGGCGGCGGAATCGAAATCTCTACTCCTGAAGTCTATCCCAGCACATCGAAAGTATATTTTTGTTTTCATAACTCGCTCAACTTGGCGAAAATCGTCAAAAAGCAAACTCGGGTGTCCGATTAAACCAGTAATGGTCGCAGCCGTAAGAGCAACGTGATAAATGCTGCCCAGTTCTTTAATAAAATACGGCTTTAGGCTGATTAATTTTTAAACCATGATGCGACGTTTCGCTTTCTGGAACAGAAGCCATGATCACTGTGATCAGTGCTCTTTGTTACCTGAATAAGTTTAACGAACTTGTTTCATTATAAGGTTTCCTTGTCGTGTAGGTAAAGACGAAAACCTATGAAGATTTAAAATTCTATCGAAGCATAGCATGTGTTGCATCGGTCACTGTAATTCTACTTGCTGTAAAGTTTAGTAGAATGTCGCTAGTTCTGCAGGTCGGCTTGCATAAGAAGTTTGGTTTTCTGACCGTCAATTTTTACACGTATATTTCAGCTTGTTTAATTGAAGCTGCTTCTGGCTTACAGAACATTTGTAGGTTAGCAGCAGTTATGTATTTTTAACATGGTGTAAAATTGGTCCTACGGTCTTACTTTTGTTGTCACGTTGTCTAACTGCGCCAGATCGGCTTTGAACGCCGGAGACGACGGGTTCAGTTTCAGAGAAGGAATGTCGTTTTCTTTAATGGCCTTCATATTGATTCCCCTATCGAATCAATTTGTGTAGTTTACAAGATGGCATAACTGCGGACGCGTTTGATTTCTTTGCTATGAACGAAAAGTGGTAATTCTGAACGATGCCTCTCTACTACTCCATTTTATTTCGGATACGGTCATTTTAAATCTCGTAGCGTTAGGTTCTCTTCACAACTGTTTGACATTCGGTTGTTCCTGACAAAGGATTGTTATTGTTTGAATGACATCATCGAAGGAATTCAGTTTTCTGTAAGGCAAGAAAAACACTCGATAGCTGAACAACAACATGTAGAGCAACTACGACAGCAGAGAAGCAACCATGTAGTATTGAGCAAATTCCAGTATTATTGCTCACTTTCAAGAATCCGCCTTAAAAAGACCATGCAATCATCTGCAAATAGCAAATTAGGTGATTGATTGCCATCGCATCATTAAAGACTCAATCCAGGAATCCTAAGTT